TGAAATGAGTATACTTGTAATTCATCGATTATTTTGCTATAAAACAGGTAATGGTTCCTTTGTTTTATACTCTGTTTTAAAAGATATTAATAATAAAATAAATTATTGTAAATTAGAATCTGGAAATTCTCGTTCTACTTTTTACTACATGATGTTCTAACATTATTATATGAAGCAGCGTCGCTTTGATGCAAACACGATCTTTACAATTATAACACACGAGAGTTGAATTTGATTCCAACTTGAACTGTAACTCTACGTCTTAAGAATATTATTAATTTTACTGAAGATGGCCAGAATTGTGGCCGAAACGTTTAATGTTTTTATTGTAATTCGTAATGCAAGAATAATTAAATATCATTAACTACATCTTGTGCTGTGGTTCTTTATGCTCTTTCTTTTCATATTTTTTATAATATAGATATTATGAAGCTAGCCAATTATAACTATTCCTCTGAAAAATGGAATAATTGTGATAGGCTAATTTTATAACATCGATGTTATAACTTTGGTAAAATAGAGCTGTGCAAATATAGTCACAGTCAACTATGAACAATAATCGACTATAATTGATCAATTTCTTATGGCTTAAGATTTAAAGATTAGATAACGGTTTATTATAGAAAGTTCATTATAATGGATTTTCTACAATGAGTCATTGCCTAAGTTTTAAATCTTAAGCCATGAAATTGACCAATCATAATTGGTTATTTTTCTTACATTCAACTATGATTGGTTAATTTCTTATGATTCACTTAAGTAACAGCTTATTGAAGCTTATAGAAAGCCTACAAAACATTCAAAATGATTCAAGCAGCAAGACATAAACAGTAAGTAAATTAATATTTTGAATTAGATATAGTATATGTCATTGTCTTATAGATTTGTTTTCTATGGATAAACTAATGTACATTTTTGAAAATTAAAGTGAGGTAGGTATATATTTAATATTTGTGAAAAACAAGAAAGAGTTCTAGTGCAGTCTAGTACAAAAAACAGACCATATGTCTCTATTATAATTGCCCGATTTGCTTATTGCTTACGTCTTTATTGTCTTTCAATTTTTGTGTCAAAGCTTTTGATTACTAATTCATATTCCAAAATTGATGTTTGTTAGTTACATCTACGCCATTTTATTCAAACAAAAAATGAATTATTGATTAAGTTTTTCTTTTAAAGATATCCATATACAGGATGTTCTATCACGAAATTGGCAAAAATTAGAGATTTGTTAAATAAACATAAAAGCAAATATTTTTTCATATGTTCAAATATGAGGATTTACGTCATGACGACAGACAATACGTTTACATTATTTGCCATCAAAATTAGGAAGAAAATTGAGTGGTTCAAGGGAATTTTATCGAGTGATCAATCAGCAAAAAACACTCAATTATTCATGAAAAAAGATCTTTCTTGAGTGATGTCGAGCAATATATTTTTACTACATTTCACAAGTAAATTGCAAGATATACTTACGATCATTCATTTTTACGTATACGTTTTTATATCATAGTTTATATACACTGATATACACGCATATTATGTGGGTGCGACTTCTACTTTTAATGCACTCAAAAACAACAAGTTTCATTGAAAGCATTAAACGAACATGAAGAGTAAAGTGTATGTTGAATCAAATCTTTTCTTCTTCGACATAAAATGGTCTTAAGTCTGTCTTCGGAGTCGATTCAATTAGAATTAACAGATTTAAATAACAGATCTTGTCAGGTCAGATGACTTACTAGCGACTGCTTGCGACGCATTCATTCCAGAACCCAGAGTTGCCAGATTTTTTAAGAATGCCGTCGCCGATTGGAAGTGCTCATGTCGCCGAATGCGTTGTCTATAATGTGCGCATTCAGCGGACTCAACAATTGAGTGAGCACTCGCTGTTATTGGTGTATTCTTCTAGATCTAAAATTCTGATTGGATGCGCTAAAAGAATGCACCAATAATAGTGAGCGCTCACTTAACTGTTGAGTCCGCTGAAAGTGTCCAATAAAAGTCGTAGCGGTCGTAGGATATTAAGTCGTTATTAAGAAAATCAATCGTAGTAGATTATTCTTCTCATATTCAGGCTATTCTACATTATCATATCGTATCATTTGGCGCTACAAATGTTTTGAAGCTTTTGATTGATCAATCGGAAGAAAGAATTTTATTAATTTAACTAATCAAAAAATGCTTCAAAGCATTTGTATCATTAAGTTTGTGCATCAAGTGGACCATAACTGTAGATGTCGCAAGTCATGAGCTTGTTGCTTCAGCCAATCGGATGTTTCAATTTTAAAGTCGCATGATGCTTCCGACGTTTCCGACGCTACGATATGACGATTGTAGAATGGCCTTTAAGCTGGTTCTACATTAAGACGATTCTATATTAGTTACAAGCCGGTCGCAAGTTTGTTGCGACAGCCAATCTGAAGCTTGCATTTTGAAATCAACGCTTCATATTAGCTGTCGCAACAAACTTGCAATCGGCTTGTAACTAATGTAGAACCGGCTTAAGGGCAACAATTACCTAATTGACAGAATGTAAGAACTAACCAACTACAGTCGAGTATCCCTTTTACAGTCGAACGACAGGGGAATACTTGACTTGTAGTTGGTTCTTCTGAATTCGGTTTAAATCCTCGGTGGAAACTAGGTCAATGTTGCGGGATTTTGTATGCAATAGCCCTTAAGCCAGTTCTACATTAGTTACAAGCAGGATGTCGCTGTCGCTAGTCGTTTGTCATATATTGTATGTTGCACACGAATACGACTTGCTATTCTACAATTGAGTCGTTAATCGAAGTCGGAAGGTCAGAACAAATGTAAAGAATGGATATTTTAATGATATATTATACTAATTTGGTTCATGTAATCGTACTGTGTTTGGTTCATGTAATGTAACATGATTATATGAATCAAATATCGATTTATTATCTCCAGTCTTGAAAAGTAGACGATGTACCGTAAGAAAAGTGGATGTTGCTATGTAGTTTACATCCACTTTGTCAGAGGGCAGTGCGCGGCAGCATTTTGCGATTACCGGTTTTGGGCCGTCATGTCCTCTCTCAGATTTCTCTTTCACTAGAGAGAGAGTTGTGCTACTGTATATATTGTGGCATTATGTTATCCTTTCTATCATGGCATGACCTCAGGTTTTTCTCTGTTCTGAATTGACCGTCGATTAACATTAATTGGAGTTGATGGAAGAGGCCTATATTAAATAATTAATAAATTGTGCAAGATTTAATATCAAAAGATTGGGCTTCACACAAGTGTTAATGCTGTATTAAATTATCGCAAATTACAACTAATTTTTTATATGTGCCGATCTGGTATGACAGACGCAAGAAGTTTGAAGGAAGCTATCGAGCAATATGAAATCCAGGTACAATATTAAAAATTAGTAGAAGAAGGTCATCTATACTAATATAAGTTTCCTAAAGAGACACATCTTTATTTCTTGAAAAACTAACTATTGCATTTTATTAATACTGATAAAAACATGATGTTTTTACATAATTGAAGAAATGTAAAAACTTATAATTTACATGTTGTGGCTTGTTCCTAATCCTAAATAAAACAAAATCGATTAAAAACGAATTTCAAAAATGCAAAAATAAAATTACGGTTTTCTTTTGCAAATTGCATAGTTTAAATAATAGTGGTTATATTAAAATATCGTTTTTAAAAATGTAAGTAACAAATAAATAGGAAATAAAAGCTGAGCGGTCAAGCAGATCTTTAATGCTGAAAATGATTTCATGTGAATTTATTAGGTGTTGGAATTAATTCGTAGCGTTTTTTAATGAAAGAATGTTATTTATTTCACATGAGCATTAAAAAATACATTAATGAAAGTACTTCCCATCACTTGTAAAACGCTACGAATTAATTCCAACACCTAATATATATCACAATCTAATCCTATATAAACTGCATGCTAAAGTTATTTTCAGTCTTGAAACACCGAGAACTGGAATAGTAATATAAAAAATTAAATTAACAAGCTTTAATAATATTGATGCTTATAGACATATATCCTTATATATATAATAATCTTTAAGTCCTTTACAATCTGTAAATTTTATTACAAAAAATTGTAGTAATAAATTCACATGAAATTGTTTTCAACATTAAAAATCCAGCTTGATCGTTTAGCTTTTATTTCTTAATTGTTTGATTTGTCTTCTATATCATCATTGTATATGTAATAATAAAATTGAAAATAAGACCGTTTATGTTAGATACATTACTTTAAATACGAAGCGCCACTATGGTCTAAATGTTAAGATGTTGAACTATTATATATATTCATTTTTAAATGAATTAATTTCAGAAATTATATTTTATATGTTTTCTTAGTTTTATTTATATTTTTTCTTTTTCATTTTTTCCATAATATGGTTTTAAATATAAAATAGCAGTATATCATAAACCAGCACACATATGTGTAAGATAGATTAAAGCTATAAGTTATTTATAAGTCCTTATAGTATTATATTATTATATCAAATAGCCTTATTGAAACTAGGCAATCGCCTGTGTGTAAGATAGACCATAAGTAACTAAATATATTGGAAGATTTGGCTCAATTTGAATAAATTCAATTATATTAAAACAAGAAGGACTATTAGAGCTTAGCAAGATAACTTATGCTATAATACAACTTTATTGAAATAAATAATAAACAACTTTCAATAAAAACTTTCAAACATTCCGATCTTTTTCTCACGGTCTTCTTCGGTGAATATGTTTAACTTACATATGTTACTCAGTATATAATTATAATCTTCTTATAACACTTCTTGTTCCTATTAATATATATTAATCTAAATATTCTTTTTGTTTGTCCTGTATAATATTTTTACTTGTAGAATCTTCATTTCTATTTTTTATTTCTATGCAGCAGAATTGATCCTCAAGGATTTTGATTTGCTGACCATATACATAATGACTGTCAATGTGAGACTATCATTGGTTGCGTTCAGCAGAACACAACAGTTTCGCAACCGTTTTATGATTCTCTGCTGAGATAGTACCATTCCTCTTGATCTAAAAGCATAACCCAATCAGTGCAAAGAAAACTTTCAACAGTTGCAAAATAAACGTTTCTGCTGAACGCAGCCAACTTGTACTGCAAATTGTTATACTTGTAATTTTGTTTAATTTTTGGGTAATTATTTAGAATAACTTCTCCTCATCTCAAATCTTAATATATATATATAATATATATATAATATATATATTATGTGCGTTATATGTTCTGCATTAATTGTACAAATTCACTGCTATAAAAACATAAATTCGCTACTTTAAAAACACAAATTTACTGCTTCACAAACACAAATTTACTGCTAATGCAAAGAATTTGTGTGCTACAGTAGTGAATTTATGTTTTTAAAACAATAAATTTGTTTTTAAAGCAGTAAATTTGTTTTTAAAGCAGTGAATTTGTGTAATCAATGTAGAACGTATACATAGAGCTGTATCGAATTGGGATGATAGATATCTTAATCTTTAAAGTCTTCAACTTTAACGCTTAATAATTCGATTCACGAGGCCGCGTTTTTTTGCCTGATTTCATTTTGAGTGAAAACACGTCGAATAAGTATATTTTTATTAAGATTTGTGGTAGAATATTGTTTATAATTAAATTATATTATTACATCAGTTTTATTAACTAATAAACATTAAACAAAGTTGCAGTATAACAATGACAATAAGGGACCGGGGCTATCTGTCTATGAGAGTTACGTGTCTATAGTACTGTTATCTGAGGTACTAGGACACAATGTCTCTACCGTTCTACTGAGTAGTTGAAAAAACTTCATGTAAAGGGATTTCCGACGCATTTATTTTCTTGCAATGTATTTCATAGACGTCATGTTATAGAAAAGTGACAACTATTATTGAATGCCGAAAAATTAACATATTAACATCTTTATAATATGATGCTTGATGGTAGCATCAAATTATTAAAATTACTTGTCAATTTATTTCGCGATTACTAGAGTAGTTTTAATTTTTTTAGTTTTAATTGCGTTTATAAGTCTGGAAAAACAATTCGGCGCACAGTTTGAAAAAACTACAATATAGTATATGCAAGTACATATATAGTATATATCAGTAATTCAAGATTGAATTATTTAAAGCAATGGAGATCCAGCTACCGTAATAGACATTTTAAATTTCTAGTATTGATTCTAATCAAGTTTTCTTTTTGTGAAAAGTTTCAAAGTTTTTATAAAAAAATATTTAGTCAAATATCTGTATTAGTTTTTTTTACCAAATTTGAGAAAAGTATTTGAAATTAATTGTAGACACATAACTCCGATCTTCCCTATTATATTGATGGTCATTATGTATATGATCAGCAAATCAAGATAAGTGAGTGTCAATTCTGCTGCATAGTATAAAATGAAAGTTCTACAAGTAAAAATATTATACAGAACAAACAAAAATGAGTATAAGAATATTTAGATTAATATATATTAGTAGGAACAAAAAGTTTTATAAGATTACAATTATATATCGAATAACACATGTAAGTTAGTCATATTCAAAAGAAGACTATTAGAAAAAGATCGAAATGTTTGAAAGTTGTTATTGAAAGTTGTTTAAACAATAACAATAATTATATTAGGACTCTCGAATTTTAAACAATACAAAAAGATAAATATAGTAGTGAGAGTCAGTAATGATGAAACGACGCAATTATTTAGTGAACAAACAATAATCAGATATTGGATTGGATGTCTTCTTTATTTTGAATGTTTCGACTCTCTTTGGAGTTCTCCTCAGCAAGAATGATACAAGTATAATTAGCTCACATGTCCATAATGCTTAAGTCACTCGCAAATTTACAAAGATGCAGCGTTGTTAATCATCATGGAACATGAAGCATTGCATTGAAGCTTTGTTGAACATATTAAATAAAACTTAAAAAGTAGAAATATTAAAATCAATATAAAGATCACATTTTTAGAACATACGTCCGATTCATTTATATATATAATATTATGCCAACAGATTAGCGAATAAGGTCTGTGCGCACCGAGAATTTGATAACAGACTGGCAACAGAAACCAAACAGGAATTGCAAAATTTTGCTCGGTTTCTGCCATCAATTTGCTAGAAAAGCATGTCAGCAGACTTTTTCTTACAAAGTTTGTTGACATTGTCAAATAATACCAATCCTGTGTGTAATTTGTTGCCTTATTGCAATCAAGAATTGATAGTACGCTCTGCGCCAATCTGCTGACATAATATATCAAAATCTATCTTCATAGACTTTACTATCTGAGTAGTTGATTTATTCATATAAATAGTCCTGTTTATAATTTTAAATTATTTATATGAATTTGAATTTATTTGCAATTACTTTTATTTAGCGCTTTTTATTTACTTTTGCAGCTGTCGCAAGTGGATGCAACACTATCTACAACGCCAAAAGGTCCTTACAGAGACAACTTGCTCAGCTTGAAATCTGACATTAATGAACTTATTTTCTTAACGAAAGAAAGTTTGCAAAGTCTTGAAGAAAATGTAGAAAACACAAATGAAGATAATCCTGATGACAAGACGGAGGATCTATTGGACAAAGAATATGTCTTTTTTAAGGTTTATTTTAGAAATAATTGTTAATTCTTACCAGAAGATTAGGCCGCTTTATTTTTCTTATTAGTTAAAATAAATTAGTTATCATTAAAAATAAATAAATTATCTAAAGTAGAACAATATAAAGTGTATGTTTTATCATATGCAGATTTTGTTGCAGCATATTTTCACAATTTTCAAACATTATGAATGTATATATAAAATTTGGTATGTAAAGTTATATTATTAAAACAACTTTGATGCATTATTAAATGTTGCTTAAATCCATTAGGCAGAGCTAGAAAAATCTTCAAACGACAATAAAGATGAACAGGACAACAAAACTATAGCTGCTTCTGGTAGCATTGAAGTCAGTATACAACTATTCTCTATATCATAGCAGTGACACAATTATACGGTGCAAGTTAACCTTTTAGGACGAATTAAAGGAGCTAGAGGGTACGAAATGTAAAGCTCCTCATAGCAGTACTTGGGGTGGTATCGGTTATCATAATGCTATGATATGTTCTGTTTATAAGGACAGTGGTGAAACAATTAAAGATATTCATGACATTAAGGCAAGTTAATATGAATTATAAAATTGTTATATATTCTAACTTGTAACTTGTTTTTATTGTTTCGCTCTTAAATTTGATCATCAATCCCAGGTTCGAGTTTTCTTTCTCAATCCAATATACAAGGAAATGATCCCATGTCCATATTTTCTCAATGGTAGTTGTAAATTTTCCGATGAAAATTGCCATTATTGTCATGGCAAAATTGTGCCGTTTTCAAGCCTACAAGAATACAAGTAATTTTTTCCGATTAATTAAAAGATTTATATTATTCAAAATTTACTTCAGTGTAACTTTTGATTTACAGGGAACCTGATTTTCATAACATTAAAATAGGAAGCAAGGTGTTAACTAAACAAAAAAATAATATGTGGTACAGATCCATTGTTTTAAAATTACCTGAAAAGAATGGAGATGAATACAGAGTAAAATTTGAATCAAGTGGCAAAATTGTAGAAGCCGGTTTACAAGATCTCTTACCTTTAGGTAAAAAGGTTTAAAAATTAATTACATACACACCATTTATAACTTTTTTAAAAAAGGTATTGTTTATAGATGACACAAGTATTGATTGTTTACAGATGACACAAATTTAGAAATGTCAAATACATTTAATGATAGCAATAACGATGATGAAGATACGAATAATGTTGATAATGAATTACAACCTAACTCATACATAAATAACCAATTAGTTCATAAATCTCTTTTGACATTACAATCAACCAATGAAGCTTTAGGAAATTGGGAAAAACACACACGTGGTATTGGTAGTAAATTAATGATGCAAATGGGTTATGTGATTGGTTCTGGTCTTGGAAAACGGAGTGATGGTAGAATAGAACCTGTTGAAACTCAAATTTTGCCTGCAGGAAAATCATTAGGTTTGTTTAAGTTTCTCTGATCGTGCAATACAGTATTAATTTGCTGCATTTTTTCAGATTACTGCATGGAATTACGTGAATTTGCTGGTGATGATAAAGATTTGTTTTCTGCAGAACGTAACATGCGTAAACAACAACAGAAATTAGAGCAGCAAAGAGAAAGAGAGTATCAAAAACAAAAACAAAAAGATGATAATGATGTGTTTAATTTTATAAATAAAGCGTTAAGTGATAAACGTAAGTTAAAAAAAGAACAACGTTTATTGAATATGATTATGATAATGCTTATTATATTTAAATATTGTTAATTATTTTTGTGCAGCTGAAGAAAATATAGCTAGTAGTTTACAAAGCAAAGATAAACTTAAGACAGAATCTAATAGGAACTTAAATGTAGCTAGTTTTCAAATTGGAGAACATATAAATCGTTTAGAAAGAGAATCATTGAAACTCAAAGAATCATTAACAAAGCATGCCAAGGGTAGTGTATTTTACAATAGCATTGCAATGAAGTATAATGAAAAACAAAAGGAACTTACCAATTTAAGAGCTTCTGAAAAAAATATCGTTGCTGAACAAAACCAAAGGAAGAACAAAGTTAAATTATCTATATTTTGATAACATAGCAACAATGGGATATACTTACATATGCGCGCGCAACACACACATTCTTTCTCTCTTTCTCTCTCTCTCTCTCACACACATACACATACATACACACACACTTTATTAGGAATGCTGTATATAAAGTAAATCTAAATACATTGTTTCATTAATGTTTCTTATATGAATACAAGTTTTTCTCTTATAAATCCCAACAACTGATTTATGCCTGGTGATTGAAAAATCAGTAATACAGGATGTCACAAAAAAGTCAGGACTGGATTATATCGGAAATGTTTCTCCGCAAAAACGTTGCGTCAAGTAACGTAACATTCTCAAGATCATTTAAGGCCAAACCAATATCAAATAATGAATAACTTGATACCTTACAACTTTGATATAAGTTTTTTTCTGAAAACATCATTTTTTTTAGATAATTCGGTATCCCGATTTTTTTGTGATATCCTATAAATTGAAAAGTTGCCAAGAAAGGAAGCGTCCCGTTAGCACTATGCAATAGCACACATCCACTCACATTGACTGATGTCTAGTAACTTTACTGCTTTATGCGATAACAATATCTTCCTACAAGAAAAAGCAAGATTTACGTCAAGTTTTAATACTTGTCCAATAGATATAATGAAAGGAACACAAAGAGTTAAGTTTGATGTCATTTATCGATTATATATAGTTTGTTTCTGACAGCCTTTTAAAGTGACAATAGAGAAATTGAATTATTGCACTGTGATAAAATTCCTTTATTTAAAGAAAGAAACTTCTACGAAAAGAGAGGATTCTGATAGTGCACATTACTAATTGGATTTATGCCCGTATTCATAATCAGGCCTTATATTTAAGGCTTTCTTTAAAATTTATCTTCAGATACTCTACGAAGAATTATTTCATTAACTGAGCATCTTAAATTTAAGGACTGAATATCTTAATTTAAGGAAGCCTTAAGTACAAGGTCTGACTATGAATACAGTAGAGCTACTAGAAACGTATTTGCGTCCACCATTTTTATTTCTTTTCCCACTCCTGTTCTGTCCTCATTCCATCACTGAACTGTGACGGATTAAGGTCATTACAAGTTACGATTTGTATTTGCTGCTTGAAATTTTGTAGTTCCTTTCATTCCATTTTTGCTCTCAAAATCAGTTGAATATTTATCATAATATTAATGCAGGACCTAAAAAGTGTCTGGCATTCAGGTTATTTCTAGATAAGGTGCAAATATGTCAATTTGAAAAAAAGGATTGAAATTTCTCATCTGCGAGAAAGTGTAGTGATATTTATTCACAAGTCATTATTTTAGTCAGTATTTATTTTAGAGCAATACAGCAAGTTGTCGACAAATATTATCCGCAGAAAATTTAAATAATCTAATACCTTTTTCTGATCTATTGATATAGTTTACCACAATGCAACAAGGCATTTTATAAATTTTTTTGCCTTCGTTAATATACAATATTTCAGTTTTTTTTTTATATTCTTTTTATATCCTCTTTTCGTCTCTTAGTTTTATGGTAAAATTTCGAAGTGCAGAAATACATAAATACAATACGAAGCTACAAGTTTTCCAACATCTTAGAAGCTATAACTTATAACAACCGTAATGACCTCAGCTCAGCGGCGGAGTGGGAACAAAGCAAGGAGTGTAGAAAGGAGAAAAATGGCGGATATGCGAATACTCACGTTTATAGTGCCTTAAATACAGTGCATTAAAATACAATAAAATACTCTCATTGATAAAACAATAAAAAGTTACTAGACATCGGTCGATGTGAGCATGGTGGAAGGGATAACATGGTGTATGTAGAGTCCCATATTATAAACGCATCACGATATCGTTTTATTCTTCTTTCACGAAATATTAAAGAAAGATAGGATATTACATCGTGCGCATCATGCGTGAAACGGAACGCATCCTAAAAGATGCGCAAATAGGATTCGTTTACTGATTAGCTGAGCGGTCATCAATCAAAACCGAGAATCTTGGGTCCGCAGCTTCGATTATCAATACAAAGCAGCTGTACTAAAGATTCTGTGTAAGATTATAGGTTGAAGATACTAGATTAAGAAACATTCTTATTTTCCAACATTATAAACAACGTTAAATAAGAGATTATAGAAGTTGCGAAATATATAATTGAGAAATGCAAATTAAATTGGTATGTGATATCAATATTTTTAAAATATAAAGAAATTGCGTACTATTTAGGATTTCTATTCTTTCACTTTGATTTCTATTCTTTCTGTTATTAATTTGATTATTTTATCAATTTAATAATACTGTCGTTGATGCAAAATTCCTGAACATCTTACTAAATTCTTTCTTTTCTAATGAGTTCCAACGACACCAGTATCTGTCTCTTTAGCGGATGTATCTTCCGTGACAGTCAGCGCAGAAGATCCTTTCTTAAAGAACGAACAGAAAAGGTCATGCTTTCTGTTTGTCGTGCAAAAGAACATGACAAAATTCGTTTGAAAATTTGTCTTTTTTAAAAATATACATCTACTAAGATCAATAATGCTATGCTAAGAATCGAGAAGCGGAGCACAATTATAGACGCTTCTGTCGCGCGTGCTGTATACCTGTTCGTCAAGCTGCAACTACAAAAGTATTTCGAATTTTGGTTTGAAACTTTACGAGTACATTTTCTGAGAGTAATACTATTGATTAAAGAAAAAAAAAATTAGAAAATAAGAACTTTAATTTTAATAAAAATTAAAAATTTGGACCATCTAAACCAGGTTCCCTTAAGATAAAGCATTACACGTTTACGATGATATTGTGAGGAAGAGAATGTGAATACCGAAGGAAAAAGTTAAATAGAACCAGCGATTACTTCAATTGACTGTGTTCCAAAAATTGCTCTTACTAAAAATCTATAGTGCACGTAATGTAAATTATAGATTTTCAGTGCTTGTAATAAATTTTGGAATGTAGAAGTTTTTACTTAAAGGATATTGATTTTAAACTACAATAATTAACATTTGTATACTATCAATATAAAAACCATAATTAAAAAAAAAACTGATATAGCATCACCTCACGTTGCGGCAATGTAAGTAATTCCGAATGGTATGGATTTCCTTTCTCATTTAAAATTATAATTTATATCAACAATAAATTAATGTTAATTATTGTAATTAATAGATAAATAACTAATGTTAATAATATCTTTTAAATAAAGATTTTTATTAATAAATAATTGACAGTTTTATTTAACTTTCCCTTAGGTATCCGCCATTTCACTACACTCTCCAGGTTTTAAGGTATCATACTAATCGTAAGATATCAAACTAACTGTAAAATCATATTAACATCTAACGATAATCTTAAAACAAAAATTAAATAACTATGAATAATGGCCAAAATTCCAATTTATTTATCACTATTCTATTTAAATTATATTTATTCTATTTATTCTATTCTGTTATATTTTACAAGTATTTGTAATTTTATTGCTTCTGCTGTCACAATCTGACAAAGGAAAAAAAATTGCAAAAGCAATATTAAAAAACTAACACTATCAGTCGAAAGATCACGTTTAAATATTCTAGATAGTCAAATCTTGGGATCCTATAAATTCTATACCCGATTTAGTACGAAACATATTTGGTCATTTTAACTTTGATACAAAATATCTCGAGAACAATATATTTTTGGAAAATGTTTCAAATGTATGTAGAGTTTGAAAAGGACCGTTAGATGAGCTACTTAGATTTTTGGTTTAGGGTCTTTTGATATAAGGCTCCAATAAGGCCCAAGTTAATTTTTTTTCTATAGAAATGTCTACTTTTTGTTGCAGATTCGTATCCTATGGAAAAAAACAAAGAATTTTGTACCCGGTAATTTTTCGCTCTTCCTTTAATAAGCGCAACATAGCGCTCAAGTTCTTATTTTAAAATATATTTCGGCCAATGTAGATAAGACCAACAGATGATCCAGCCAATTAAGGCAATTTATTTTAAGATATAAAAAAAAATGTCGGTACGTAGTTTTGCATATCCTTCGCTGTCACCTTCGAGTGGATTATCCGTTGGCCCCTTCCCTTCATTAACCGAAATATATTTCAAAAATATTTGAGCACTATTTTACACTTATTAAAAGTTTAGCGGAAAATTACCGGCAAAATTTCCTTGTTTTTTTTTCTATAAAATATAAATCTACAATACAAAGTAGGCATTTCTATAAAAAAAAAATTAATCTGAGCTTTATTGGGTCCAAAATGGGCCCTAAACCCAAAATATACGTAGCTTATCTAACGACGCTTATCTCTCTTCAAACCCTCTCTCTTCTTCATACAACTTGCATTAAAAATGTATTGTTCACGAGATATTTTGAGTTAAATTTGAAATGGCCAAATATCGTACCAAATCGGGTGGAGGAGGATTCCAATACAGGATTCCAAGATTTAGAATATCTATTTCAAATGTGATGTTTCGACTAATAGCGTTAGTTTTTTGATATCGCTTTTGCAATTTGGAACGGTCCCTCGTGAGACAGTAGTGAAAAACAACAGGAGCTATAAAGATTAGCATCTCTCGTTTCCATTACTGTTTTAAAACAGATTCTCATCTTTATTTTAATTCAATGAAATGTAATTAAAACATAAAGTCTTATAAACGAAGACATAAAAAAGCATTTCAAGGAATTACATCAATTTTATTCTCAGACGTCTTAACTTCTATTAGCACGATTACCCCATCCACGACGATGTGTGTCTTTATATTCATCCATTGCACGCAGTTGTTCAAGATATTCGGGATCGTCTTTTTCTTCTTTTTTTTCCTTCAAAACGGTTTCACTATCCTCATTAATTGCCATTACATCTTTATTCGCTATATCTTGTAAACATCGAGAATCGGTTACACTTTGTTGTGATGAATCGGGCCAGCTGAAAATAACACAATTTCTTTGTTATTACCAATTTTTCTTATCAATTTCAAAATTTAATAAAAAAAAAGTTTATTCCAAAGTTTATTACACTATTCAACAAAAAAATAGGAAACACTTTTGAACACGCTCAAAATTGTGCAATATTCAGAACACAGTAACTCGATGAAAAATCATCGCAGACAAAAACCAAAAAAGCTTGAAATCTCTATATTTGAAATAGGTAATTGATATTTCTCAATCTAATTCATCCTTTATGGAGCTATACGAACATAAATGAATACCTGCCAAATCTGAAAATTTTTTTACAAAATTTGGTAAATATGCAGTATAAGGAATCACACTCCAATGATCTTGACCTTGACATATGTTGTCAAGGTCCTATCTCTGAGTGACCTCCAACAAGTTTTATCCGTCGTCCTTCATTAAAAAGTTATTAAACAAAAACATTTTACTTGGGGGTACATAATTTCCACGCAAAGCGACTCTCATTCCATCCCTCCTGCTTGGGGAGACGCTTAACTTCCATGTGAAGCGACTTTGCTCTATCTCCCTTCCCCTCCCCTCCCCTGTTTCAAGGCGCACGATTTTCCAAAGAAATATGGTTAATCTCGGGAAGTCATGCGCCCCTTGGCAGGGGGGAGAGGTGGAATGGGAGTCGCTTCTCATGGAAAATATACTTTAAAGCAGAAAATTTCTGTTTTATATAGTAGAGAAAAGATATCATTTTTCAAACTTCTTTTGTTAATAACTTTTTTTAACGAAAGACGACCGTCAACATGAAAGTGATCCTGTCGGAGATCACTCAGGGTTATGACCTTGACAACACATGTCAAGGTCAAGGTTATTGCAGGATGGTTCCTTATACATTATATATTACAGCAGCCGAAAGAATGAATTTTGATTTTCAATTTGCTTTTTTATTGAGTGTTGTACGATTTTTTTTCACCGAGTTATGAACGTTGAAGCAAAATGATCACTTTTGCTTCAATGTTGAATTAAAAACAAATTAAAGGTAAAAACTTGTAATAAAATTTTTACATATAAAATGTTAGTTGGCGGTCGTCTTTCGTTAAAAAAAGTTATTAACAAAAGAATAATGATTGTAACGAGATTTTTAAAAAAGCATTTTAAGAGTAAAATCTCTACTTTTAAAAAACATTTTAAAGGTTGAAATTTCTACTTTTGAAGTCAGTTATTGATATTTCAATTGGACTGATACTTTATGGAGCTATACTAATACAGGCACAAATGGATACTGTCAAATCTGAAAATTTTGTGCAAATTTTACAAAGGCCTATGGCATAAAATAAAAATCACATAAAAATGAGATTTATATGATTTTTTAAGGAAATAAAAATTATCTTGCAAGAAAAATATTCTTTAATAACGTAAGATCTCCGCATGTTTAAATTACAGAGACGCTTCTGAGCCAGAGAGTCCTATTTCTTATTTTATAATTTAACTCTTTGAAGCATATATTTTTCTTTACGTAGAATTCAGTTGAAATTTATTACTCGGGGGTTTTCAGGATCGCTGATTACGAATCTGACCTCAGATTTTCAAAATTCAAAATGGCGGATCCAAGAAAATTTCTATGCTTAAACCATCCCTTAAAGCAATAATTGATGACAATGGATGGTCGAAAATGGTCATCAAATCATGATATCATCTTGAAACATCACATAATTATATACATTAATGAATAATTAAATAATTGTTGTTAATGAGAGGACCTCAATATCCCCGTTGCGCTATGTGGAGCGCTATTTTCTCTTTGTTGGAGACTTGTGTCTCATGCCTTGTGGCTTGCCCGGAGAAATTGGTTGCGCGTGATAAATGATAAAACCTTGCCTTGATATAACATACTTTATTTTTTATAGATTTGCACTCGCGTATACTATTAGGTCAAAGAATAAAAATACGGTTTTTGCGCACCAGCGGTCTTGTACGTGTTCACCGCAAGAAGATCGCACACGGAAGCATCTCGAAAACCGACAGAGAGAGAAGCGCGGCGGTTACACACAGGCAGCATAGTCGCGCGCATGCCCTCCCTTTCGGTGGGCCCCATCAGCGACACGATACGTCGCTAACACGCCACGATCACGCAGCACAGCCAACGGGCTGGTACCAAGCCACACACACTCTGATAAGCGCCAACAATTGTAATTTATTAAAAAATGAATTGAATACTTGATTGTCATACAAAATTGAATTATATGACTCGTATTATAATCAGGATCATGTGCACTTTACCGGCCACTACACTTTTGTATAATATCACCACTGATGATGTTTCAAGATATCATGATTTGATGACCATTTTCGATTATCCATTGTCATCAATTATTGCTTTAAGAGATGGTTTAGGTATAAAAATTTTCTTGGATCCGCCATTTTGAATTTTGAAAATCTGAGGTCAGATTCGTAATCAGCGACCTCGAAAACCCCCGAGTAATAAATTATATAATAGTCGGCACCACTGACGATGATATCATGATTTGATGACCGATCATCCATTGTCATCAATTATTACTTTAAGGGATAGTTTAGGTATAGAAATTTGCGTACAGATGTTACTGCGACTTAAGACAATTTTAAATTTATAATGTTATATCAACATTAATAATGATCCAATAGGGGTCGAAATGTTTGTTAGTTGTCTACTTTATAAATATACATTATAAAGCACATACAACTTGTTCGGCTCGTAGCCTCTTCCTTTTCTATTAATATTTTACTAATTTTTTAAATTTGAAAATAAGCATTATATTTATAAAGTCGTAATTAACATAGTTGTTTAATTAAAAAAAAATTTACAAGTGTCTTTTCCCAAAAACTAATATATAGATTATTTTAGAATACTGGCAGAAAAAATTTCTGTAAAAAAATTAACTTGCAGCTACATTAGCCATACATTAGTAAAAAGTGATTAAATGTAAGAGAAATGATTTTGATGAAAAAAGTATCAAATATTTTCTAATTTTTTTTTGTAAAAAAATTGTCTAAAAAGTATTTTCTGTCAAATTTTCAAACATTTTATATTAATTTTATTTGAAATTAATCTTATTTCATTACAAAACAATATAAAATAATAAAAATGTGTTAAAGCATAACGTGTGTTAACTTCATATAATAGACATTTTCAACTAATAGACTATCTACAATGAGTATAATATTGTATACTAAGCCATAAGTTATAAGAAATTGATCAATCGATTATTCTTTTCACTTTAGACTGTGATTGGTCGATTTTTTACGACGGTTTACGCCTTACCATACTACTCCCATTACAGACGACCTTTAATAGTCTTAAATTTTTGACTGGCGTAATCTCTACTTACTCTCCATCCTTGATTTTTTGCTCGTAAAATTCTTGCACCGTTAAGACTGGTAAACTTGGGTAGCCTGCTCCAAAAACTTTCTTTTGTATTTCGTCACGTGTAATGATAATGGGTTGCAGTTTTGGAGCTGGTGATTTTTGCTTCTTTTGTATTTCAGAAGTCGAAGTATGCATCGATTTCATTTCCTTCATATTCTCCAAAATTGTTTTTTCTTTTTTTAAGAAATTTAAATCATCAATGATTCGAACTGCATATAATTTTATAAGAGTAACAAAATATTCTCTCTTAAATTCGTCATCAATGTTAGGATTATCTAAGTTCTTCTTTAAAGTATCCAAACGAGATTCCAAATCCTTCTCCTGTTGATATCTTTGTAACTTTGCATTTCTACGGATCATCTAAAATAAGCAGAATTAAAATAATTATACTTTATAACAGTTTACAACAATCATATAATTAAAAAACTCAACCATATTCTCTAACATCCTTGATTCTGATGTATTTTCATTATCTCCTGCTTCCTTTTTCTCATCAACTGTACTAATTTGTGGTATTTCAACATCTGTTACCAGACCATATGCTTTTAGCCGTTTTAAAAAATCTATAAAATAGATTTCTGCTACTTTAGCCAAATGCAGTCTATCATCGATAATGCATAACTGATTGGTAAGTTTTCCCAATAGAGCCGGTAATAAAAAATACTTGATATTCTCTGTGGCTACTTCTTCAAAAGTTTCGTTATCGCTAAACATATCCACTATAGATACAAGTCTCGTTGCATCCTCAAACATATGCATTGCTCGTTTTATGTCCAACTGCAACAAATAACAAGAAAAGAAAAAAACTATTATAATTTTTATTGCAATAATAAACGAGTTCTACTTTAAAAAGAAATAAATTTGTATAGATGATCATCCTAGTATGTATATATATATATATGTATACATATGTATGTACGTACGTATGTGCATGTATACACGTGGCGTCATAAGTGCCTAATATCCATTTCCACTAATGTAAATTAACTTTAATCTCGGTTCAACTTACTCTTCGTCTTTTTTAATTTAGAATTAAGAATAATTAATTCTGAATTTGCAGAAATATAGAGGCATGTTCAAGACGCGCGTTCCTTTCTAAATATTCGTGGATTATGACTAACGGTTATTCGAAAAATGGTAACGTAAATTTAAAATTGAACTAAACTTAATTTATAAAATATGTAAAATTTAATTAAATTTAAACTAGACTTAATTCAAACTTAATAATTTATAAGTAACTTATAAATAACATAGTATTATTTTTCTTACAAGAATAAAATCGCGATTAGATGCAACGTTCTGCAATTCTTTCTTATTTTCTCGAATTAATTAATTATACATATTTATCAAAATAAATAATTAATTACTGGTCAATTTAATATTATCAGTAGTTTACAAGAATATATATCCTTATATAAAGATTATGCGTTTCGCGAATTTCCTCCGTGTCCAGATCCATTCTTGGAATGCCAACGTTTCGTGAACCTTGCAGCCCACTTCATCAAGGCAAGGAGCCTAATACTAAGCTGTTCCTCTGGGCTGTTTCTTTTATATTATGCTACTTGTTGGAATGATAGGGGGAAAGAAGAGAATTGTGAGTGGGAGGAGGGGGTGGTCGGTCTTTAATAACCGGGAGAATGGTTTTCCACATTTTATTTATGTTGTAGCCATTATCTCTATTTAGATTGTTAGGGTATTTTTGTATCTCTATGGCTTCTCTATACTTTCTTGGAAAGTACGATTCAATGTTGTCTATTGTGGTTGTTTTGTCAAACAATATTTAATGTCCTATTTCGATGTTGTGTTTTGATAATGCTGACTGCGTGATGTGTTTTAACATCACGTTGGTGTTCTTTTAGCCGTAAGTTGACCATTCTCCCGGTTTCTCCATATACTTGCCCGCAGAAACAAGGTATTTTATATACTCCTGCGGAGTTGAGTGGTCTTTGATCTTTAGGATTTCTTAAGATTTGTCCTATCTTTTTGGGTGATTTAAAGATAGCTCGGATATTGTGTTTGTTTAATATCTTGCCAATCCGATCTGTTGTTCCTTTGACATATGGAAGACTGGATAGGATCTTTTTGTCTGGTTGTATGTCAGAGACTGTTGTCTTGTTTGCAATTATACATATACTAATAAATAAATGTATTCGCAAACAATGAAATTTAAACTATTACTAGAAACTATTTAACTTTTACTAGAAATGTATACATTTTCATACCCGATTTAATAAACGTATACCTACATAAGCAAATTACATCAATTTAAATAAATAACATTTTTCTAGCAAATGTATACACAGCACCCTAAGATGTACAAACTCCATGGCCACATATATTTTATATATTAAAATCTTTACTAAATAGATGAGTGTACAATATATAAAAATAATAAAAATTGAAAAGATTAGACAATCCCCGTAGGACATGTCATGTAACAAATAAAACTATAGCATATTCGAGGGTCGTTTGAAAATTTTTGATCCTCAACATGAAGATGACATTACTCGTCAAAATGCTGGTACTACAATCGTACTACATTCTTTAAAAGATACCTGTGAAAATTGTAGTCATTGTGGATGCTCAGTTGTTGTTTGACAGTCATTTGTGCTAGTCGATTAGTTAGTATTTTTGTAAAAATGGAAAAAATCGAATATCATGTCGTGATTAAGTTCTTGCATTTGAAAGGCAGTACCTTACAAATTAAAGCCGAATTGGACGCTGTTTACGTTTCTGCCCTATTATTTACCATCGTGAAAAGATGGGTAGAATTTTTAAACGTGATTAAACCAGCTTGATTGATGATGAGCATTCGGGACAACTAACAACTGCGATCACTATCGATAACATCGAAAAAGTTCACCAAATTGTACTGGACAATCGTCGAGTCAAGATTAGAGAATTAGTAGAAACTGTGAAAATATCGAAAGAATGTGTTTATCACATATTGACTAAAGAATTAAGAATGCGTAAGCTAATTGCGCGTTTGCTCACTGTGGATCAAAAACGCATTCGAATGAACATTTCCAAGGCTCTGTTGGAGCGATTTAAACGAAACAAATCGATTTTTTGCGTCGATTAATAACTGTTGATGAAACTTGGATCCACTACTTCGCTTCTGAGAAGGAACAGTCAAAACAGTGGATTACAAAGGGTAAACCTGCTTTAAAGAAGGCGAAAACGGTTTCATTTTTGTGACTGTCTTTGGAATTGTCATGGAATTGTGTTCATTGACTATCTTGAAAAAGGAGAAACGATAACGGAGGTATATTTCGCATCATTATTTGACAAGGTAAAGGCAGAAATTGCGAAAAAATGGCTTTTGAAAAAGAAAAAAGATGCTATTTCATCAAGATAACACACCGTCTCATATATCGACGGTCGCCATGGCAAAAATTCACTAATTGCGCTTTGAATTGATTGATTACCCACCGTATTCACCAGATCTGCGACTTTTTTCTGTTTCCTAGGCTCAAAGTTTGGCTCGGAGGACAGAAATTTTCATTAAACGAGAAGATCATCATCCATAGAAGCCTATTTTGCAGAGCAAGATGTCAACTATTATTTGAATGGATTAAAGGCATTGAAGCACACATACACACACATCGCCGAGAAAAGTGTTATCGACTTAAAAGGAGACTATATCGAAAAATAAAACTGAATTTAACCGAAAAAGTACTTGTTTCTATGTTGGGCTCAAAACTTTTCAAACGACCCTCATACCTGCCAATAATGGACATTCATTCATCATGTATTCATATTCTTTTTTTTAATCAAAGTGCATTTTAATATTTATCTTCAATGTTTTTTCTCAATCAGAAATCATTATTATTATACACGGAGAGAGAAGAACTCCATTATGTCGATATGATAGGATTTCTTACTTTAATAATGGCAAACTTCTATGATTAATATCTTAGTTCGTGGAGCAGAATAATTTTTTATTTGCCAGATTCATTCGTTTCGAATAAAAACACATCGAATAAAATATAATTTCATTTTTGAGCAAATGTGACTAAACCGAATAATTATCATATATTAAAATTAATACTAAAACCGTTTATTAAAATGTATACTTTTACTGTGACAATTTTGTCACAGTCAAATGTGTCAACTTTAGGAAATGTATACACTTACTAGTCAATGTATTTATTTATGTAAAGGCGCCAGTCGCCAGAAGTTTGAAAAGAGAAGAAAGTATAGAAAAGTATTTTATCGTTTTAATCGACAGTTTGGGGTATAAGACTAAATTAAAAAATGCTTCAATTAATTAAGAAAAATACTTAGAAGTAATGAAGCAACAAAGTTATTTTTTTTTGTGTGTTGATTAAAACTTGATAATAAAGAGATAACGAAAAATGATAAGAAAGTTTTCTGTTGCTGCTAAAATTGCCTACAAAATGAGCTCTTACTAAGTTTTGTATTATAAATAGAATTACAGATTGGCTCCATTCAGCAGAAAAAGCAACTTTGCAACTGTTGTAAAATTCTTAAATATGATTAGTTTATAAATTCAGATCCAACGAGAAATTAAGAGCAAGATCAATCATACATTATAAAGAATTTTACAATAGCCACAAAGCTGCTTTTTCTGCTGAATGGAGCCAAAGCTGATTCTACAATGAGTCGGTAATCAGTAGTCCTAAGTCTTGTCAGTGAAGTTGGCCAACAACCAACTTATACAACTAAGACTATCGATTTTCTTAAGACTGACAAAATTTAATTTTATTCCTTCCTATTTGTCAAATTAAACGACTCGTTGTTACTAGTTGATACAATTAACAACTAGTAGAATAACCATAGTCACCTACTTAGGTTAAAACTGGTTAAGACTTAAGATTTAATCAGACTACTGATTCATTGTAGAACCAGCTTAATGGCTCATTGTAAAATGCGTATAAGACTTAGGACTACCAACTACCGACTCATTGTGGAATCAGCTAAATAGTAAGATCACAAAAAAATCAGAATTTAAAAATCTTACCTGTACTTTCGGACTGTTCGTTGGTTCTACCGTAGCATTAATATTGTTAAACATTTCGAAAGCGTTGTCAAATAATTCCGACAACGTTGTAGGATCATTCTTATCTCTTTCATTCTTATCTCTTTGGCTTAAACCTTTTATTGAAATTTCTTCTGACATTGCTATTCTGTATGACAACAAATACAATCAAATCTTCTTTCTTAGGTAAATGACACCTGCTCGATATGAATCAAAACATTCTTTCCTACACCATTATGATTCTCTGACTCATTAGTAAGGTTATAGTACCATCAGAGAAAAAGCTGAAAGAAGCCACAATCTTTTTCCTGTTACCGTTGAAATCACTCGTACACTACCGCCAGTACATTTATTTTGGGAACTACGTGACTATATACATTTTCCAACATTGTCGATAAAATCATAAAAAGAAGATGTGGTTCATCTCTGTACTAAATCCTCAGGATAGAAAAAATTATTAAAATTATTATTAAAAAAATGATTACAATTAAAATTAAAATTACAAATTATTAATTATTAATTAATTATTAAATTATTATATTGCTTATAATATGCTCTACTGACATCATATTTCATTAATTTCACGCGACACGTAACATTTAGGATGCGTTTCCATATTCACTACCAGTGTTAAAACTATTGATATAGGCTGTGTTTCAAAATTTATTGCTAGTACTGAAAATCTGTAGTGCACGAGACGTAAATTATACATTTTCAGTACTGGCAGTAAATTTTGGAATACAACCACAATATACGTTAGGGTACTTACCAATACAGCGAAATAGCGTAAGGGTCTGAGCACAAGAATTGTAACATTTACTTAGATTCCGTAAGAATTTGAACCTATTAGAAATCATGTATTGTGAAATACACAGTTTCTGATAGCTTAAAATTCTTATTCTCTGTTGTCTGTTCCTTTTATTGGGAGCCCCTTATAGCGTTTTCGGCCCGACCGAGTTTGAATCAACTTGGATTGGAAAATGCTTCGCTATTGGTTGACGTTACATGCTCTACCAACAGCATAAAACATCATTTTACTTCAACCTAGATTGATGCAAACTCGATCGGGCCGCTCCACGCGAAACTCGCGAAACCGCCATTAGAAACTTATGCCTGTATTCATAGTCAGACTTTGTACTTATGCTCAGCAGCCAATAAAATAATTCATAGAGTCTAAAGATAAATTTAAGGAAGCTTTAAATATAAGGCCTGACTATAAATATGAGTATTAAGTTGCAGTAAGCTGTAGATGTAAGTAAAGCCGGTTCTACATTAATTGCAAGCTGATCGCAAGTTTGTGACAGCCAACAATCGAATTTTGAAATCAACGCTTTAGATTGGCTGTCGCAACAAACTTGCGATGCAACTGGCTTGCAATGTAGAACCTGTTTAATGCTTTGGTTTACGACATACGACTATTTGCCGTCTCTTGGAGACACGGTAATAAGTTGTACGTCATACGTGAAAGTTTGTGCATTACTTACATCTACAGCTTAAGTTTAAGTAAGCATTACGATAATTCTTGTACTCAAATCCTAACGCGGAACGAGAGCAGAACCAAGGTTTGTCTTTTATTCCTGCACTAAAACTGAACTGAATTGAACTAGTGCAATCCAGAACTGACGAGTGTAAGCGTGCAGGCAAGGAATAAAAAACGTTTTAGTGCAAGAAAAAAGTCGCGTCCCATTTTTATTGAATTACATGAAAGTATTAGATTCGTGTAATGAAAATGAATGCAATTCCATTTAAAAAAAAATCTTAATTAAAGATAATGATAACACAAAATGTTTTTAAATGTAGGCTTGCTATTATTTATTTATATTTATTATTTTATTACTCATAAATTCTTGGATAATTATTTTGAAGACATCCTTTAAGTTCAATTTTAATAAAATTATGCTCATTTGCATTTTTGCATGAAACAAAAGAATCTGGCAATAAAATGTTATGTCTATTAGTCCCATGAATCAAAATATTAAAAATGAAATCACACGGTACGAGAATCACATGCAGAACAGAGGATGCATGATTCGAACAGCCAATCGTGGGAAAGACATGGGATAGAAAAATGCGGAAGAACTGATTAACTGTTCGAATCACGCATCTTATGCTGATTTCCGTGTGATTTCACCTTAAGGCTCTTGAGTAGTCGCGGCGGCCATGTTGGAATCGTGATGTCAGAAGCGAGGAATAACACGTTAATTTATGTTGCATGCCATTTTAAAATAAAAATAATTTCGATGAAACGAAATGATGAGAAAACACTCGCTTTAAAACACTTGTAAAAATCGATGAGAACTCTTCTTATTTCCTCCCTTGACAATCGTAAAAGACATGTAAAGTGAGCCTATATTCGGGCAGAAACACATGGTCTAACAACTGTTGAAACAAGTAAAATATACGCTTTTACATATAAAATTCTAAGATAACTTTAGTTGTGATCGATAATTACGAATTTGATAAGTACGAAACAAGTCACATTTTCACAATTAAGCAAATAATAACGAAATGGCATGCAATATAAATTTCGACATCAAAACGTTACTTTTCCACGCCTATAAGTTAGCCATTTATCGTGAGCGGCGCTGTAACACATGCAAGCTCACCTACGGCGCGCCGAGAGTGAACGAGACAGCAAGCTCCTTCTTACCACTAATCGTTTATTGTTTCAAGCGATCGAAAATGTTTTCTCGGCAATCTCAGCCTGCGTTCAGTAATGCAAATCTGAGTGCTCTTATATTATAGCATATGTCACGTGCACTGTAGAAAAAGAGACTCCGACGCCTCAGATTTGCATTACCGAACACAGCTAATAAGAGGCGGAGGGCATTCTAAATAATATAAGTTTTAATAGATTGAAGTAACAGTATACCCTTCCCATTAATCCAGAATAGTATAAATCATGTTAAAACGTAACAGTTTACGAGATATTTAATTGTTTGCGATATTTCATATGCATTATATTGTATAATACATCCCTTCTTCATAAACTCGAGTAGCAAGAATAAAATTTATTTCGAGAGGAAGTAGAATTTTATTGGAAAAAAATTATAAACCAGCATTTCTCTTCGAAAATCTCGAAAGGCCATTAGAAAAGAAATGTATTTTTGAGACTCGAAACTCGTGAAGAAAATATGCAAAAAAAATCGAATAGTGGCAAAAAGCAAGTTTTTCGCTTATAAAACGAAAGATATTGATTATATCGAAAAAAGTTTGACATGAAAAATGAGACGTGGAACAAAAATCGATCTATTAGTTAAGTAGAAAAAAAAACCAAAAAAAGTTTTTTACACGCTCTCTCTTCATTGATATTTAAACGCAAAACTTTGAAATTCTCGTAAAATTTAGCCCTCGTAATGACGAACAAATCTAACGAACGAGCTTGAAATGTTCATTAGTTTTTGCAAAAAGTTATTTGTTCACTAAAAATCTGTCTGCGAAAAACTTAATTTCTTCATTTTTGAATAGTCGCACAGCAATTTACAGGGATGATTTTTCTTCTTCAAGAGTTGTACTATCACGTACACATAGTAATAAAATGATTTTTTGCAATTAAACTATTATAAAATGACTTTGAAAAGTAAAGATCTTTTTTCGTATAAAAAAATGGAATAATTCCGTTGCATATCAAATAGCCATGTGAAGTATTCGACAGCTGACATTTTTTTAATTTAAAAAAAAAGATTACCCTCCGATTATTAGGAGCCAAGATAATATTTTTTTCCAAAAAATCACTGACTAATTTTTAAGATTAAGAATTCCGTTTGACACCATTCAAGGAAACCATTTGACATCTATTTGTCAAGGAAAAATTGAATTTGCTGTTAAAAGATTCTCGAATTTTTTGTCGAAAAAATTTGTTTTGTTTAAAATCATTGGAAAGTTAAGGAACGAGCGAGGCAGCGGGCCGAGAGGAGTGGGGAAAGCCGACGCGCGGTTGAGTGGGGATAATTAGGGATTAATTTAAGGGTTGCTCGGCGATTCGCGCATCGGATTTCGTGTGTTAAAATTTGCTAAAGTTACATTTTCTCGCCAATAAATCGACATAGAAACATGATTTTTTTTAAATCTGGAATAGCTCGACGAGATATAAACAAGTAGCTTAACCAAATGTTTCGCAAGATATTGAAACCATGAAATTTTTAGTTTTTCATTTCTTGAATTTTTATTTTTTCAGTTTATTATTAAAAAATCACATTTGAGAATGGAGTGCATGTCTGATTAACAAATTTAAATCACATGAACTATGTTTTTTATTTAATATGCTGTAAAAAGTCCAATTAGACAATTAAATGTATGGAATTATAAGTACAAAATTGTTTTTGTGAATTCAATTGCAGATACAAATATGACATATGTAAATAAATATGTAAATAAATTAATAAATAATTTGCCAAATGTAACTGTGTGAATACTCAACAAACGAGAATGGATTCAAATGGATTCAAATGGATTCAGATTTTCAGAAATATGGATTCATAAATGTTAAAATGAATCCTTTTCAATCCTGAATTTTTATGTATTTATAGGAATTGCATATCTCCCCAGCAAACGAGAATGGATTAAAATGGATTGAAACTTTTTTCTACCCGAATGCGTATTTTAAATAGCGAATACTTTTTTTTGGATTTAATTGGATTCAATTGAATTCAATTAGATTCAATTGGATACAATTGGATTGAAAAAATGCATTTCCTATTCAAATTTTTGAATTGAACAGTATTCAAAATTATGTTGTGCACCGAAACAGCTAATATTATTTTTAGATTGAAAGGCATAGAGATATGCTCCATGCATTTCTATAAATGAATAAAAATGCATTCAGGATTGGAAAGCATTCATTTTAACATTTGTGAATTAATATTTCTGAAAATCTGAATCCATTTCAATTCATTTCAATCTATTCTTTGCTGGGTCTATACCTTCTAATCTAAAAATAATATTAGCATTTTCTTTGTGTACATCGTGAATACTACTCAATTCAGAATTGTGAATGAAATGTACAGTTTTTTAAATTTATTTAAATATATCAACAATTTCTATGCAACGTGAATACTGCTCAATTTAATATTCTGAATATGAAATGCAGTTTTTCAATCTAATTGAATAAAAAAAGTTGTTATTCAAAATATTGGAGCATAAATACTACTTAAATTATTCAAAATTACAAGTAGGAAATTTTTTGTATTAATCCTAAGTTCAAAAAAGTTGTAACGTAAAAATAATTGAGCTATGTTCTTTTGTTTCTCTTTGATTAGAAATA